TATATATATATATATATATATATATATATAATTGACACCACATGCATATGCACATTGTAGTCATTATCCATTACATTACTCATGTGAATGTGAATCATGTGATGAATGATGGAGTGAATCTTGGTTGTGAAGTTGTAACTTGTTGATATTACTTTATTTGTTTATATAGATAAATGATTATGATATGTTGTCCTTAAGTGTATTTGGCTATCCAACATTTATTCTACGTTGTGAGACAAAGTAAGATATTTCTCACTCTCTGTTTTTTTTTGTTTTGTTGATGCAGGTAAGACTCAGCCGAATATTGATAATGTTGGTGATGAAACTTGGGCCTTATTTAGAAATGTTATGATAGAATATGTGACATCGAGACATAGATAAGATTTGTAATTTTATTATTCAATCATTCTTCAAGACTTGATGTTAGACTATTTGGTTATGGTTTATTTTGAAGTTATTATTGGAGTATTAATTTGGGAAGTTTGTTATATGGTATCCTCTGCCAACATGATATTATTAAATTAATTTGTTATGTATGAACTCAATTTTTTTTTTTAATTTAGGTGTTCTTTATTCTATTTACTATCACATGAAAGGTAAAGGGTGTCACATGGTCAACTTTATCTCACAATTTCAAGTGTTAAATGTTAAACATTTTGGTATGCAAAAATGAAAATAAAGATATGAACATTACTTCAAATCTTATATGCAAAGAAGTATTCCAAAATTTATAACACATTTAATGTTTATGTTTAATTTTTTAATATAAGTTTAATTATGGTATTAAAAAGTCTTTATGCTATTGCATTTATGTATTCTAAAATAAAATTTTAAATTTAGTAGGTCCAACAAAAAAAGATTAAATAAACTAAATAAAATTTTTATCAATCTCTCTTAAAGAGGAAAAAGATATGTATATACAAATACACATACGTACATGCATGTACATGTACATACACATACTTTACTAATTGAATCATTTTACAAGATTTATTTAATAGTTGATTTTATCTCTTATAAATTATGTAAAATCATAACCTTATTATTGTCAAAACTATTATGTGTATTTACTTATTATAGTTACATAATTATATAATTATTCTCTATATATTAAACACAAATCTCTATTTTATGCAAGAGTGTTTTTAAAGTTTTTTATTCAATGTGAGATTCGGTAAATTTTTTTAAATTCTTATCTAATTTACTTGTTATTTATCATAATTATTCTTAAATAAAATATTAAAATTTTAAATAATTATCAATAAATAAAATAATTTATATTATAATATAAATTATTTATCATAAATCTAAAATATTATTTATATATTTAAAAATATGTATTTAATATTTATACAAATTTTACATATAATTTACATAGTTAAACATAATACATGTTTGTATAATTTATTATCAAGTTTAATTATATAATAAACATACATATGCATTGCAAATGCTAAAGTATTGATCTTTTCTAATAACTAAACATTTCACATGCCTCCACAATGCACACAATACCTATCTTCTTATAATATTTGAAAATTTTTAATTTTTATATATTAATAAATTTTGACAATTTAAAATATAATAATTTGATTTATCTAAAAATTACTAACCAAATAATCATGTGTATCACATGGAGAATCCATTTAGAAGTAACTAAACTAAGTACCATAGTAATTTTTTCACGTGTGTCACATAAATCTATTTAAAAATGACATCTCAACATATGATATAAATCAAATAATTTGGTCAATAACTGTCAACCAAGTAGTTGTTAATACTACCAAATGTAAAATATGAATGAAAAATATTAAAAAATCAAAGTATTCCACATATTTTTTAAAGGTCCAAAGAATACTATTAACTTTAATATGAATTTATAATAGAATTTACAAATAAAAAATAATATGATAATTGATTCTAGATAACAGTTAGTTAGGCGTGTATGAGTGCAAGACTTGACAAAATAACTAATGTAATACATATTTTTTTTAAAAATATAATTGCATGTTTATTGGAAATTATTTTGGTTTGTACCAAAATAAAATAACATACCAAAACAAAAAACCAATAATTAATTAAAATCAACAAATTTAATTGCATTTAATTTAATTTAATTTGAATTAAAGCATGAATGCGTGGTGAATAAGCCATGAAATTTCATAATCTTCCTTTAACATTAGCACATAACCCTTCTTAACCCTAGATCTTCATTCTCCAACAACACCAACCCTTCTTTCTTCTGTTCGACTCAACAACATTACATCACATTTCATTCTCAGATCTCTCCGAATTCCCTCACACGTTCCCTTCATCAGAAACACCCCACAATCCTTCCTCGGCAAGTCTTCTTCCTCGACAATTTTGCACTTTTCAACCTCAATTTTGCAATTCATCTTGTGGGATCCACTTAAAATGCACTGAATTTGAAACCCCAATTAAAAAATCTCATTTTTTTCCCCAATTGGGTATGCTCTGTACCTGGCTGTAGTGTGTAGTGTATTGTAGGCAGTGACAGTGAGTTCTCATGGCAATGCCATCGGAAAACACAATCATACCCGAAAAATTGCAGTTTCCGGGAGGCGGTGGCACCGCCGTTAGCGGTAGTGAGATCCATTACCGCCAGCAATGGTTGGTGGATGAGAGGGATGGGTTTATCGGTTGGCTTCGCGGTGAATTCGCGGCTGCCAATGCTATCATAGACTCCCTGTGTCACCATTTGCGTGGTGTTGGTGAGCCTGGGGAGTATGACATGGTTGTTGGGGCAATTCAGCAGAGGAGGTGTAATTGGACTCCGGTGCTGCTTATGCAGCAATACTATTCTGTGTCTGATGTGGTCTATGCACTGCAGCAAGTGGCATGGAGGAGACAGCAGAGGGTTGTTGATTCGGCAAAGGCCGGCAATAAGGAGTTTAGGAAGTTCGGTTCGGGGTTTAGGCAAGGGCACAGGTTTGAGGTTGCCAAGGAAGGTTATAATTCTAGTGTAGAGTCTTTTGGCCACAGGGTGAATGCGGGAGGCCCAGAAAAAGGGACTCATGGGGCTCAAAAGAATGGAGAACTTAAACCAGGTGACAAGGTTGGGACCATGGATGACAAGAGTTTAGCATCTTCGGAGGAGAACAAAGGTAAATAATGAGTCTTTTTGGAATAGATGAATCATGGTTTTAGATTATGGCCTTGATCGTGGAAACTGGATTAATCATACTTAATTGTTGTTGTGGACTGTAATTTAGAATTAAGTGTTATTTTACATATTGAATGTTGAATAACTTGATGAGTATTGTTGTTGAGTCTTTGTGCAATGATTATACTCCATATGGTTCTTACATCTGTGAGTTGTATTACACCGAATATAGTAATTATAGATTGATTTTTCCATTATGATTTAGAAATATGGCTTCATTCATGCATTGCTTTTAGGCTTGGGTGCCTGAAGTAATGGATATGCCAATAGTGTCTAATTGGACTTGATGGAAGCAATTTGCGGAAAGATCAATGGATATAGTCAGATCATTTAATGCATATCTAAAATATAAGTATTACAAAGGAAATGAAGATTCTCTTGTTTTCTGGGCGTTAAGAAAATACTAGGTACTAGTGGGATGTAGCTCAATACCTGATTCCACAATGAAATAGTATTCATGGAATTACCGAAAACTTATGACTAAATCTTTTAAGGGCTGATCTTGAACATTGGAATTGATGACATGGTAGAGCCAGAGGATGAATACACATAACTGATAAATTTCTATAGATTATAATGCTATGAGCTGCTTATTATGGTATTCTCATGTGGTTTCTTCTGTCCAATTAATGATAAGGTAGTTCACTGGCACTGGGACACTAAATCAATGACACTTAACAATTGGAATTAGTCTTTATTGATATAAGAAGTTAGTTGACTTCATGGTTTCCTTGAAGAGAGCATATAAGCACGTGGAGAACTGGAGATGCGTGGTTAAATAACTAACTAGTTGTCTAATACATTGCAAAATGAAAATGGGCATGAGTGAGGAGGAAAAATATGTCCTACTCAGTTTCTTATAAAAATCTAACTATTGGTGGCAATGATACATCTGTAACACTGATAATTTATAAAAGATCTTCTCTTTTTGCACTTCTGTTTGGTTTCCCTTCTGTCTCCGGTTGAAATCCAGTGTAACATTATTTTGAAAGATCTTTACTTTTCTTTTGTCCACTTGGAATTGTCTTCTATCTTTAAACCTGTTAAAAATAGCGACACAGTTCAGAGTTTCTGGCTTTATAAATGCGTTCTATATGTTTGTTGCTATCTTGACTTTTTCATCTTTTTATTGCTTGAGCAGATACTATTACAAATCATCAATCTGATGGCATTTTGAAGAGCTCTGGGAATTCCCAAGGATCTCTGTCCAGCTCAGAATGTGATGCTGTGGGTGTAAATGAAGAATGTATATCAAATTCTAAAGGTTTTCTTACCGTTGACTGTGATTATAGAAAGTTAGACACCATATTACACAGGACAACAAACTATGTCAGTTGTTTGCATTAATTTTTAGAATGAGTAATTAATGTTCCGACTCTTTTCCCCCATTTCCCCTGTTTGCTACAGGCATGCAATATACCTGCATATTGACATGCCAAATAAACAATTGTCCATACTCCGTACTACGTTGCTTGCAGTCACACGCATACAGAGTCTCATTCAATTATAGGATCAGAGTCAGCTTATAGACATAATTTGCCTTGCAGCAGATTGATTTGATATTTGTGATTCATCTTATGTGTGCAATGTGTTCCAGGGAATGATACACATTCTGTGCAAAATCAACATCAGAGTCAGAATGCTTCTACCATGGGAAAAACTTTTATTGGCAATGAGATGTTCGATGGGAAGATGGTAGGGTCCTTTAGATGTTACTTTGTTTTTGTTCATTTCTTGTTTTTTCTTGATGTGTAATATATCCTCATAATTTTTCTTTCATTCCTTCTTTCAATATTCTATTCTTAATCTTAGGTGAATGTGGTTGACGGAATGAAGTTGTATGAAGATTTGTTGGATAGTGCTGAAGTTTCAAAACTTGTTTCATTGGTCAATGATCTAAGGGTTGCTGGGAAAAGGGGACAATTTCAGGGTAAGTGTTCTGAGATCTTATGTCAGCATGTTGGAAGAATCTATCGCTTTTTTTTTTCTCCTTAACTTTATTTGATTGATATATAGTCAAACAAACTTTATTTTGAAAAAGCATGTTTCTTTGCCTATATTCTCAAAGTTGGTGTCTTTTTTAATGTTATTGTAGTTGAGTAGTTATCAACAAAGAATTATTTGGAATTATCACAATGTTAACTAACAAGTGTAAACTAGTGGCATGACATTTTCTTATGCAGAGTCAAATACTTATTGTAAATGTAATATGCATTTTCAGACTCTTGTCATTGTGGTGAACATATGTATTTCCATTTGTGTAAAATGATGAATCATCATCTAAAATCACCAAACTCCTCAAGACTCTAAACTGCATTTGAAGACACTTCCTTCAGTTAAAGTGTAAAACCATTGCATTCATTTTTGATATTTGGTTAGAAGAAATCTTTATCAACAGAGTTAAGATATATATACTGAAGAATAACAAATCTTCTCAATGCAGAGAAATAATAGTAGGATAAGATACTTAAAGTAAATGATATCAGCTTAAGGGTAAAATGATGAATTATGATCCAAAGACATGAGCTCGTCAAGGTGCAATTGAAGACACTTGCTTGAGTAAAACCATTGCAATCATTTTGGTGTTTGGTTAAAAAATATATTTATCAATGGAGATAAGATATACAAAACAGAAGAATAACAAATCTTCCAGATGCAAAGAAATAATGGGAGGATAAAATATTTAAAGAAAATGATATCAGCTTAGAAGGGTTCTTTATTACGAATCAGTAAATATTCTTTTTATGTTTGACCTCAGAAGATGCATACTTGAGGGATCACTTTTGCAATTGGTTCCAACGAAATGCACCTCATCCCAGTTAGTAGGATACAACTATATATCTCCTTTCTCTATTTTTCTCTTTCTAAACATGGACAAATCAAGTCCTTGGCAATAGATACCCAAACAGCTTACCTGCTGATGACTAGCAACCTCACCGGGCAAACAAAAGATGGGGCCCTGCATGGCGTCCAGTCCTCCACATTACTAACAGGTTATTTGTGCCAATTGTATATAGTTTATGAATGCCTTACCTTAGTAAAAGTATCAACCTTCCAAAAGAAGCTGTGAGGGCCGAGTGGAACGGTTTCAACTTTCAAGTTGGAAGACTTTTTAGGCATAGGAATTGTATGAATCTGGAGTTTGGATATGTAGCAAAGGTGAATGAAAATAGCAGAAATTGTCAAAAATATTTCACAATGAAATCAGGAAAAATTCCAGTTATGAAGGTTATTTATAAGAAGTGAACATTTCAAGATGGAGTCCTTATTTTAATCTGAACAATGAAATTGAGTCAAGAAGGTCTTCAAGTTAGGAATTGGTATTGGAAAACAATTTATAGGTGGAGAGAATCCAACGTCCAGTTCTGCAGTCCAGTCCACATGTTTCCAAGTTCCTATTCTTTTACTCACAACCACTAATCAACAAGCCTTTTCCACCTGTTTAGTTACATGGATCATACAATGTAATAATTTCTTATCATAAAGAGGAGTGCTTGTAACCCTCTTTCTAGCATCCACTCTACTGTTGAAATTAAGTTCAAATTATATTAGTATTCAGATTCAGAAATATTGTATTGTCCAATATGTTGGCTTTTGGGTCTTATCTTCCACATTGTATTAGGTGGCCTCACTTTTATCCATTGAGCATGTATTTGCTTAATTTCCAAATATATTATGTTACATACTTGAATAAAGTAGATTTTTTTTATTACAACCTTCATCATAGGTGCTTCTCTAATGCAAATAACTTTTCCTTTAATATTGTTAATTGCTAATGATTTTTTGTAAACAGGAAGTCATACATTTGTGGTTTCAAAAAGACCCATGAAAGGACATGGAAAGGAAATGATTCAGTTGGGTGTTCCTGTTGCTGATGCACCACCAGATGTGGACAGTGTAACAGGAATCTCGAAAGGCAAGTCATCTTGTGTAAATTTATTTTATATGGATCATTAGTATAGTTCACAAAATTTTCTCCTTGTGGCCATGTTATTTGTCTTTCACTACCTTTGTGGTAATGATTGATAAAGTTCTGCCAATTGAATCTAACAGATAAGAAAGTAGAAACTATACCTTCTTTGTTCCAAGATATTATTGAGCGCTTGGCTTCCTTGCAAGTGATGACTGTGAAGCCTGATGCTTGTGTTGTGGATTTCTATAGTGAGGTTGCTTCTTCTTCCTTTGTTTTTATTTTTATTTTTATATTGGTCTAAGATTTGCTTACATACTAAGTATTGCAATTGTTTGTAGGGTGAGCACTCGCAGCCCCACAATTGGCCACCTTGGTTTGGAAGGCCTGTTTATATGCTTTTCCTGACTGAATGTGACATGACTTTTGGGAGAATAATTGTCTCAGACCATCCTGGGGATTATAGGGGTGTTGTCAAGCTTTCTCTTGTACCTGGGTAATATTTGTTAACCTTATCTATTTTTTATGCTAATGTTTTGATACTATTGTTATTGTTACTGTTACTTGTCATCTTGGCATTATAGAAGCTGGTGAAATTGTGATGTTTCAAAACAGAAATGTCTATAATCTACAATTTATTTGTATTACAAGTTATTGTAATATCTAGTTTAGTCTGTAGTGGGTATTATTAGGTAAGAGTAAAATTCCTTCATTGGCTGTCACATCTCTAAGTTCACATCAAAACAAAGCCAATGGTGTTAATTTATTTAATCCATCATCTGTGAATGACATTAGTTTTTAATGTCAAAGTTTGTAGTTGATAAATATAACTTGATTTTGAGTTAATCGGTGAGTAATATCTCAGTTAATCCATGAATTAAATGTTTGATTCCAATTGAAATAAACACTTTTGATCTGTGTATCTACGATCTTTAGTTTTTCAGATACACTTCATTGAAGATTTGTTTTCAGAGGACTTGTATTTCTTTCTTTCTTAAAGATTACATCTGTTTCCTATTGTAATTGTAATTTGAGTCTGGTATGGAAAGGGTTTTTATGCCATGTTGCATATAGGCCCTGACAACATTTGTCATCGTTACTAAGCTTTTCAACTTTACTTGTTATTAAGAGCCTTCTTGTTTTTGTTTATTGAATAAGGCTTTTGAAGGACTTGAAAAGTTTCGGTGCATTTACATTGCCTATGGTTATTGAGGTTTAAATCCTCTCATACCCTCATAAGTCACATGCAGCTCCTGCTGCATGATATTGCATGTTATGCTCTTTAATCTGATTCTATATTAAGAAGCTCGAAGAATTTTAAAGTGGTTGTGTCATGTCGTAACTGTCAAATGCATATCTATGTTGGATACTGCATGACACTTTATTTACTTTCTATACATATGCTTTAAACTTTTATATCACTATTGATTAGAAACAACAATAGTTAAATAAGCCTTTGTATTTTATTGTACTTATAACGACTTATGTTCATTTTTAAAACATGAATTCTCTTCCTAATATGACCTATTTATTCTGGCAACTGTAGGTCTCTTCTGGTGATGCAAGGGAAATCAACTGATTATGCTAGACATGCACTTCCTTCTATTAACAAACATCGAATACTTGTAACCTTCACAAAGTCCCAACCAAAATCTTCTCTGCCAAATGATTACCAACGTCTTGCCCCTCCAGCAGTGTCTCACTGGGCCCCACCTCCTAGTCGATCTCCCAATCACATGCGACATCAATTAGGCCCTAAGCATTATCCCACAGCTCCGGCAACCGGAGTACTGCCTGCTCCATCCATTCGCGCACCACCAAATGGTATGCAACCATTGTTCATGCCAGCACCAGTTGCACCTGCTATGTCATTTCCTACACCCGTGCCGATCCCACCTGGTTCTACCGGATGGACCTCAGCTCCAAGGCATCCTCCTCCTAGAATTGCTGTTCCCGGCACAGGAGTTTTCCTCCCTCCACCTGGCTCAGGTAGTTCATCTCAGCACATACCAGGTACTTTACCTGAAGTGAACCCTAGTGTGGAAACCCCAACCGGGCCGCGAAAGGAGAATGGGAAATCTAACCATAGCAACACTAGCTCTTCACCAAAAGGTAAAAATGATGGAAACATGCAAGGGCAAGAATGCAATGGAAATGCAGATGGAGCTGAAGCTGAACAGGCTGTAGAAGGGAATGAACACGAAAACAATGACAAGGTGGCTGAAGCAAGCCATTGAGCTATGCCGGATTAGAGAGAGGGAGAAGCTTATCACAGGAAAGGGTTAGGTTACAAACTTAATGAGTTTGAAGCAAATGTAAAGAGCGGCAACATTCGACACAACACAGATACGATACTTGCAAAGGAAAGAACAAGGGAAGGAGGTAGAGCTTTTTGGTTCACTTCTTAATCCTTTGTTTGCTCCATTCCTTTTTTCTTGTCTTTTCATTTTAACTTTTACAGCAAGGGAAACCCCATTCTTAATTCAGATTTTGATTTTTCCTATCTTTGAATTACGCATTTTGTGGTTGATTATTATTTTGTGGTCATGTTTTTATCCACCATTTTATTCTTAAAACACTTTGATGCATGCGCGATGAGACTTGAAATTAAGTAGAAGTATGCAGAATAGTCCGTTGAGAATATTTAAGTATAGCAATACCATATGAAACTTATCAATTGGATGAGTTGGAAGAAATAATGGTTTTAGATGAAACATTATATAGTCACAAGTATGAACCTTTAGGTTTGTGTGGGAATGGTTGAAAGAAGATACTGTTGGTTGCAGATGAAGATAAACTTAGTTTTAGCAGTTTATATTGTCTTTTATTTCCCATCTATTATTTTAGCAACGGTAGCAGAGTGATCTTCCATATTGAGTAAAGATATATGGTCAATATAGCACATTTCTCTCTCCAAATTGAGCACTTCTTAGCAAAATATACAGTCTTCAGGGGCATTTGTGATGGGTTATAACGAATTTGCTTATGTTTTTATCCGATCTTAAAATTTGACAAGGTTAATCTTGTATAATTGAATTTGACTTGTCAAAACAAATATGAAATAAGATCCAATTAACTCAATTTGTTAACAGTTAACACAATTTATTGGTTTTAACATTACTTGTAGCTGCTGTAAAAAAAATTACATGTAGTTAAATTATAAAATAGAAAAGTATATGACTACAATTTTGTGTATTTATAGTATGTTTCATGATAAATAAGATGGTATCATATTAAACAAAATATTATTTATTAGGTCAGGAGGTCATATTATTAACACAATTATTTTAAATATAATAATTATGACATTGTATTGGGTTGAGACAACTTAAAGGATAATTTGACTTTGTCCTAAAAATACAGAGTCTAACTTGTTAAATTTGAATTCATCAAAAGTTTCTTTAAACCGGATGGAATAATGAATAACCCTCCCTCATGTAAAAAGGAAACTTTTTCTTTTATTTTTTTAAGAGTCACGTAGTTAAACTTTTTTTTTTTTTAATTAATTGGTCCAAATTATCTACCACATCTCAAAGTATTAATATATATTCTCATAACGAAAGATATTGCTAAAATCCTTGATATTCTTCATTTTGTTGCTAATGAATTCATATATGTTAATATGACTGATCATCAATCAATGATATTTTAGATAAGCAAGCATGTATGGATAGTTATCAAGCAATTATTATTTGGATAAAACACGGTGGTGATTCACGTCGGTGGAATGTGGCCTAATACAACGTTGCACACTCACACACGAAATACCCTTATCCATGCATGCAAACTCCATTACAAGGGTCTTAATATGAAGGTGCACCGGAAAATTCGCCATAATAAATAAATTATATTTTCTTTATTTTTTTCCTTTTTCTTTATAACTGTTTTTTTAGGCAGTTACATTTAAAATAGGACACATTTACTATTAAAGATAGATTTCATATAGGAAGAATCTAAACAATAAATCCTATGGAAGAAATTATTGGGATGAAATACGGGAGAAAACTTCATAAATGAAAGAGAGCAAATAAAATAAGTGAACTTGACATCATATTTTAATTTAAATTCTTAAGATGTTAAGTTGATTAGCTTTGTTCACTAATATGTTATTTAACATATCCAACTATATATTATTTAACAAGTGAACTTGACATCATATCTCATTCATACTTGAACATTAACACTCTCCCTAGAGTGAAAGTCTTCCATATGGTATGCTCCCGTTCAAGTAAAAATATTTTTTTTTTTCATTCACAAGTATTCAATGATGGTCTACTTGTACCACTGTTAGCTCACATCAAAGGGACAAACGAATCGCTTATAAGACTTTCAAAGAAACAATCTAACTGTTAGATCTATTACCCATTCCATTGCTCGATACTCATTTGAACCGGTTACCTTGTCAAACTGTTGACTTTGATATCACTATTAAGGGGGAGGGTTAAACATTGGGGAGAATTCCATCAATAGGTGGTGAGAAAACTACACAAGTGAATTTGACACATCTTAACTCAAAATCTTAAGACATTAGGTTGATGGGTCTTTGTCACTTATATATTAGTCAATATACCTAACTATATGATACATAAGTCTCTTATTCACACTTGAACTCTAGCAAAAATGTCATGAGCCTCTTATTTTTTATACTTATGTATGGGCATTCATTTATTCCAAGAGTAAGTTTTGGTAGACTTACTTCACTCAATAACTCATGTTCTACATTAAATTTCAATGATCCAACCATTAAATTAAAAATTCTTAATGTATAGATCAAGTCTACAATTATTTTAAAAATTTAAAAACTATTTAATACTTCATTTCATTTAATCAAATTAACAAATAATCATAAAAGCATTTTATATGTTAACTTGAATCTATATAATGAAGTATTATATAATATTCATTTTTTTTTTAATTTGTAGACTTGATCTATACATTAAAATTTTTTACTTCAACGATTGAATAACTGAAATTTGATGCAAAACATGGAGTATTGAGTAGAGTAAGTCTACTAAGACTTACTCTCAAAGGAAGTGAATCTCTCTACCAAATGCCAATGTGAACTTCATGGCAAGATGATATGTTGACACTATTGCCCCTAGGGTATTTAATGATGGTTAGCCAAGAAGTATGTTGTAGGGGGTGTTGGGAATGCCCCGCTATGTACTTGTTAGAGAAAAAGTTACACACTAGAAGGGGGTTGAATAGTGTATATAAAAAACTCGCACTTTTGAAGTGTAATGAAGTAGTAGAAGTTTTGATAGCCGAAGTACTAGAAAGTAATAAGACGCATGAGCACAAATCTTTTATACTAGTTCGTCTCAAACATAGAGACTACATCTAGTTCTCAATCCAATCAAATTGAGTTTCACTATCTTTTTTAAGATACAAGTATTCTTTCAACAAGCCACTTCTAGCTTAACCTATGTAGTCTTTGACTTGCCTCTTCAAGCAACTACCTAAGTATTCTTTCAACAAACCTCTCCAGGCTAAATCACCAAGTATTCTTTTCTAACAAGCCTCTCTAGGCTCAAACATTAAGTATTCTTTTGAACAAGTCTCTCCAGACTCAACCCTTACAAATAATTTTGAAAAGAGTTACAAAGATAGCTTTGTCTCTTCTAGATGTGATGCTATGAAACTTAAACACAAAATAGTCTACAAAGAACTATGTACAAGATTTACAATGAAAAGCTTTTTTGTACTTTAGCTTTTTATGACTCAATGTGTTTCTCAATATGCATTTCTTCAGTGACTTCTTTTCTTTCTTATTTACAATGCTTCTTTTTCTATCTCGTATATTGATTTTTTGTTTGTTGTTTGAAGACTTGATCCTTTTATAGTAGTTTCGGAGAAGATGACCGTTACAAGAAATTTGAGTTGAACATTTTAATTTTCTTCTTGAGTTGCTTTGTCTGTCTTCTTGGCTAATCTTAGAGATTACCATTGATGCATTTAATGCAAGCATTAAATGCCTTTTAGTAATGTGTGTCTCTCTTATCTGATCTAACAGACTACTTATCATCATTTCCCACTAAAATGAGCATGGTAGAAGTAATCGATCTCTATGTAGAGCAATTGCAGTCAGAGTAGAGTAGTCTTTTACAGAGCCTTTTCTGTAATATTCGGGATTTTCCCTTTATTGTCTTTTTTCTTCTTTAATGTGTTTCGAGAGTTCTGAAGTCTCTTTTTAGTTCGATTTATTAAGGAATAACACATTTAGACTCGTTTTTGGAAGTATTTCATTTAATGTCCTAAGACAGATTATATGCTGTTAGAAAAGAATGACTCAATCCAAGAGGGGGTGAATTAGATTCTATGACACTTAAATTTTTTTTAGAGTTCTACGGATCTTTATTTCAACTTAAACTTTTCTAATATGAATTCTCAAAGAAGTTTCTTGAAAGACTTGCCAATGGGAATGAGTCCTATATGCTTTCTTGATTAATCTTGATTAAGTTCAATGTTAAAAACACTTAATATGCAACACTTTGGTTCAGTTTAAAGCAATGTTATGCATACAAACATATTAATCAAGATCATCCACTTTAACACTCAACCAAGATTTTGCTCAATGTAAAAGATAAGAGCGAGAGAGAAGAATGCACAAGTATTTTATCCTGGTTCAGCCACTCCATATGTGACCTACATCCAGTCCTCAATCATAACCTGATCAAAATTTCTTCTACTATTTCAATGAAGAAGTTTTACAAGCATACCACACATGCATATACTCCTACATTCAAGATAACCACTTTCTTGCCCCCAAGAAAGCACTTCTTGTAGAAACCCCACTACAAGAATTCCTTACCACTTGAGACACCTACTCAAGATTTCCCTTACACTTTACACAAAGAATTAAAGGAACGAATTCACCTAGAAGCTGAACAAATCAGACTGTGAATTCCAAAAGCAAATCTTAATCTTTCTCTCCCAAGAATGTAGTGATGATGATGATCTTTTTCAAAGCATTTCACAAAATGTTTTTCTTCTTGGTTTCACAAAGAAAACACTCCAAGAAGGTCACAAAGACTTCACAATATAGTTTTTCTCTCGTTGATTCTCAATTCATTCTCTGTTCTGAAGTTTCAAAGTGTGAAAGCTATTTATAAAAATTTCAGAACCAGATAATCAATTATTTTAAAGAATAATCGATTATTTTTCTCTTCATAATTTCTGGAAACCACTTAAGAACAAAATAATCGATTATTTTGCAGGATAATCGATTATTCTAGAGAGTGCTTCCTAGAATAATCGATTATTTCACATATAATCGATTATTACAGCAAGACTCTTTTCACCTGTTGCTAGAATAATCGATTACACTTAATGATAATCGATTATTTTGAGTTAGCTCACAAAAACTCAATTCTATACTTCAAAAATCTTTCCAAGTATTTTAAATCATCATTATACTCACTCTTAGTCAATTTAGATTAAAATTAACACATGCACAAAGCACACACATGCAAAATAAGCTAATCAAAACAATACATCTCATAAGAACTTATAAACTACTCCTATTACACATCATGATAGTCATATCTTCTTCTTGACTAGTTTGTGTCCTTGGTCAGCTTCAACTTTC